TGTGGAAGCTCCGCGATAGCCACCACACGAAGTAACGAATAACGAGCCTATCTAAATCCCAGTAACGAGTAACGCGTTCCTGGTTTTGGCATAATAACTAGTTACCGTGCTCGTTACCACAATAATAACGTAGTTACTGTAACGCGTTGCTTAATAACGCGTTAGTCCCAACACTGGTAGACTTACAACTAAAACTGTGAGTACACAAAAGCAGAAATGCAAGTGAAATTGCCTGTTTTGCTTTATAGTAAATTCCACCTTGGTTTGACTTGCCAACATCCAAATATCAGTTTGAGTGTTTATGTATCAGGCCTAGTAATGTTAATAAAAACCTGCAATGACCAGTTGGCAATGTCTGCCCACAGTCCCACTGAGACATGGATAGTGTCTCCCACACCTGAATCAATGAACTTGTGTAAAGTCAAGTTTCAGGAACAGCATAAAGTCTGACACCGTCTGAGGATTTGATCCTCGTACCTAAAAGCAGTGGGCACTGGGTTAACCCTGTAATGCCAAGTGGATCATATTTGATACACGAGTTTTTTAACCTTAAAAACCTGACACACACAATCAGATACACACAGTGTTACTGCGAACAAACTGCACGATATAGCAAAAATGTCACAAATTGAAACATAAATTATATTATGATATATTATGATCTTATTTTTTGTTATTTGTTAGAAGGTTCAATAAACACTTGAATTTGAATTTTCTGGCAAGTATTTCATGGTTCAGGCTTTAGAGGGTCAACACATGGAAGTCTGTGTGACCCCTCCAAAGATATGCATCCCCAGACCATCACTGTTCCACTGCCACACCAGTCATGCTGGATGATGCTGTAAATGTATAACATTTGCCACAGACTCCAGACTGTTTCATGTTTCCACATGTATTCAGTGTGAACCAGCTCTTATCTGTGACGAGAACAGGGCAGCAGTGGGAGGACCTGCCAGTTCTGCTGTTTACAGGTGAAGTCTAGTTGAGCTGCATGATGGTGGACAGTGAGCACAGGTCCCACTAAAGGACATCAGGACCTCTTGCCGCCCTCATAGAGTCTGTTTCTGACAGTTTTGTCAGAAACATGCACATAAATAGACCACTGAAGGTCATTTTGTATTGGTCATGCTGCTGGCTCTACAGGCTTGTCCAGCTTTCCTCGTGTAATGGCCTGTATGTCCTTCACACTCTTGAGACTGTACTGTGAGATACTGCACATATGATCATGCCTTCCTGGCGGAGTTGAAAAGTTATGCTGCCTCAATGAGGTGCAGGTACTGTCTCATGCTACTACTTATTGTTGCTTTTATTTACACCGAAGCAGGTCAAATTGATTCACCATGGTTTATACTTTCTAATTGGACATGTTGACAGCTGAAGTCTGACTATCTGTTATACTGTGATGATCAAGTCTTCCTTTTGTGAGCAGCGTAAATATAATCCAAGAAAAGTCCTTTATTCAATTTCTCTCTTAAATCCACGTGTTTGCTTAGTGCAAATCATCTACACATAAATTAACTCTGTGTGCTGTACACATTATTTGAAGCCCAGGTACATGGATACAATTACACGGATAGAAGTGTACATCTCAGAAAGTATGTAAATATGAGATCTGAGGACCTGAAAGTGTAGAGCTAGTCACTTAAATTGATAAATGTTTTCAGTTATTGCCCTTATTTATTTTAATATTGAGTGATTTGTGACCAAAGTGCTTCAATACGAGATATAAAATAAGACGTAAGAATGAGGATGTAAAATGAAAATTAACTGAACTGAGCAAAAGATTTCATTGGTTAATTTAGTTGTTCCAGTTGTTCTATTCCATTTTAATGAGTCTCTTTAAAACCATTTATTAGACTCATCCACATATTTGTTTCCTGCTTACTTCTTAGACTTCTTAATTTATTCTCATATGATCGTTTCATTGTTACCAATAGAAATGTTTTTAGGTGCAGTTAATTATTCAGACAAACAGAAGAAGAAGAAAGTCCCACCTGCAGATGAAATGTGTTTCAGCCTCTCCCTCTCCCTCTGCAACCTTCTCATTCGAGTGTAAATAGCCATGGGTGAAATGTGTGTACTTTGTTATCTTTCACTTCAGTCCTTAAAGGTCCCGACACCAGGACAACGGGCTGCTGCTGAACCCGACTGCTGCCGGCTAGTTACCCCGGTAACATTTGCCGTGCAGCAGGACCCCAATACCGTGACTTCTGAAGTTTGGCCGAGCAGCAAATCATCAGAGCTCCCATGAGTAAACCAGGCTTCCTCCTCTGTCCTTTCTCCGCTTCTTCATCTCTTTCCTGAAACTCACTCCAACTCTAGAGCTGCACCCTGCTGTGTTTCTGCACTAATGTTGTAACACAAAGGATGCAAAGATTAAGCGCTATCAAGGTTTATTAGAGTGGAAGCCCCCCTCTTTCCCCCACACACCTTATTGCTTATACTGTTGATTCCCACAGCCAATGTAGAAGACAAAAGCTGGGGTTGAGTTATCTACAGAGCTGCTTGTGAAATGCACCTTGTAGCAGCAGGGATACCTTGATAGCGTTTATCTCTCCCTGCACCACTGACTCTTGATTTTTATTTTCTGGGTGTTGCCCTCCACTGAGAAGATGAGGTTCTTTAAGGAACTAATGGCTAATTACTTTACAGGAAGTACTTCCAGGGTGGCTATTAACAAGGCAATCTAAGCTTGAACTTCAACTAAACACATGCATTTTTCTGGTGTGTGTGTGTGTGTGTGTGTGTGTGTGTGTGTGTGTGTGTGTGTG